CTCTCCTTTAAAAGGAGCAGGAGAGAATGTAGAATTGTCAACTGTAAAATGGGAAGGGGTCACTTTGACTCCTCCCTCAGAACTGCCGGCTTTCAAGCCGCTTTGTTTCACTTCCACATCTGGCGCCTGGTCAGATGTTTCACTAATCGGCACCCTGTGGGAGGAGCCGTCTGAGTTTGAGATCCTGGCAGTCTTTTTTGTTCTGGCCATCATGCTCTGCATAGACACAGATACAGTCGGACTTTGTATAAAGGGCAAAGATGGGTCCAGAAAAGGGACGGCGGCACTCCTAGTCCTAGATTCAGCCGTCCCCAGTGACCGGCTGATCACTAACCTAGGTCGTGTCGTGTGCTTCCGTGGTGCCATTTCAAAAAAGAATAAAGTAAAGAGAAAATTAAGAGTAAGAGAACCGACGGTTACCTGAACGAGTGACGATTGATGAAGTTCTGAAAATCCTTTGCAGTCGGCTTGTCAGAGCAGGCGGTAGGCAGAAAGGGTCCAAAATGTAAGAGCAAGTTCAGGGGTCCGAATGTTCTCTCACAAAGTTTTCAAGTGTGAAAATGACCTAAGTCAACACTCCTTTATATAGGCGAAGTGAGAAGGCGAAGGGTCACTTCCAAAATTCAAAATTTTGGCGGGAGAATCTCTCGGCCTCTCGCCGAGTGACACCTGTAGCAGGCCATCGCCTGTTACAGGGCGATACCTGTCACAGGTAACACGTGACCAGTCACGTGCCACCTGTGAGGGGCAAATGATTAGGGCATTTTGCTCCCACCAATCGGAATGTGCCACGTGGGCCAATCATGTCCTGCCAAGTGTCCCCCAGTTGGACATCTCAGGGCTTGCCACGTGGCACACGCTTATTCGTCCACCCTGGAGTTATTATGTCATGACACGTGGCATACTCCATGCCTAATGGAGAAGCCGGTCACCTAGGCCCAACTTCCGAGGGAAGCCCAATCAGCCCAAGGTTAACCTAAACCTAGATTGGCACGTTTCCCGAGGTTATAAATACCTCCATTAATCCTCATTAAGGGAGAGGATGCCAACAACGCAAATTACACACATTAAACACTCTCACCTAGAGAGACCCAACCACTTTAATTTCCGCATTAATTACTCCTTAATCAAGTGCTAACTTAACCGTCGGAGGCGGATCTCCAACCATCCGGAGCATCCGTTTGTTTTGCAGGTACAGGCGTCCGGTTCCAGTCTCGGAATTGTAACTCTCCCGCAGGACATCAGAAAACCCGAAACAGGAGTAATTATAATGCAGAGTACTTTTTTTACAAATAAATAATTTTAATGCTAATAAATAAAAAAAAATCAAGCAATGAAAACCAATGCCAATCGAATGACGCCCAAAATCGATCGACCATGACCAACAATCGGAGCCCAAAACCGGTTGGGTGGGGTAACCAACGGTTTTGAGCGTCGGTTACTGACAATGTCAACCGGCGTTGAGCGCCAATAGTGAAAGTTGGAGGAGATAAAAAAAAGGGAAGACAAACTGGTTTTGCCGACCACCGCAATACCAGTGCGACACCTTCATCCGCCACCGCTGCCCTTCCACCTTAAATGTGCAAGTCGCCACTAACCTTCAACTCCAGTGTACAATCACTGTTGTAGTGATAGGTGGTTGGGAAATAGGTGATGAGAGAAAAGGACAGGTGAGAGAAGTGGTGGTTGTGGGTGATGAGAGAGAAAAAATAGAGACAGAGGAAGAAAGGTGGGGGTATAGTAAGGACATTGATGTCCAATCACCTTAAATGTTGGTGTTGTTGATAAAAACTATTGACGGTATTTAACTCCCCCCTTAAAAAATTGTTAAAGAAAGATAGTAGGGTTAATAGTTTATTGAAAAATAATGAATGTGAGAGGAAAGATATAATTAAAAAAAAAAAGAAAAAAAATAGTAGTGGGTTTGGGTAGGGACCATGAGAGGAGAGAGATATTATATTTTAATATAGTTTTTTGCCAAAATAAGAAGTGTAATACTTATTAAAACACGGCCGAATTTGGTAAGTGAAACACTAAAAAAACACGGATGGAGTATTAAAAAATGTAAACAGATCAAATAGGAATAGATTGCTTTTAATAGTGAACTATGATAAGCAATTGGACAATATTTTACAAGGGTAACGTGGCATATTAATTAGGATTAATTTAACTAATTGGTTTAGCGTAAGCTACAATTGAAAGCGTGGGAAGCAAGAAATCATTATGCCAGATTGCCTGATCTTATGGAAGTACGATGTTCTTACTCTGTGTAAGGGACCAAAAGCATTAGTAAATCTATATTCCATCAGTTTCTTTTCAATGACCATAATTTAAAATCTTGCAATTATTCACAACTTATGGATCTTTCTGAATTTTTTTTCTCAATGAAGAAAAAAATACAGTCAAGCGTGCGAGGTCTTATTTGATTTATCTTAATGGATGTTTCATTGATATTTTTTATAAACAAAATTACTCAGTATTAAGTGATAATAGAGTAAAGAGCATAAATTTTGTTAAAATGTGCATTGAAAAAGATGCATAACTAAAAAGGGCTATAAAAAATTTTAAAATAATACAAGGGGAGTATGTAGGATTTGATTTGTAAAACTTTATTAGAGTTATAGAAAAAGGTATATGAGCCTTGATAAGTCTAGTTATTCGGATTTGGATTGGATTGAATTGAATTAGCATGATCATGATATTCATTTGACCATTATGTCGATCAAGTCATTTTAAATTTGGAGGTGTCGTTAATTTGGTAATGAATTAGCATGATCATGACATTTTACTGTTTGTGAGTGACATTTGGCGAATTCAGAAAAGTGCGATGGCATTTGATGAATTTTTAAATTTGTCAGTGGCATTTTTTAGTGAAATATGTTCATTTAATAGCTCTTTTGAAATATGTTTTTCGTAATACTTTGTATAAAGATTTTTCCTTCCAATTAGCACGGGCGCCAAGGTACATGATTTTTTTTGTCTTTGATCGAAATCGAACTAGAGTTGTAGTCTTGATTAGAGGTGTCGATTCGGGTATTCTGTTTGGATTCGGTGGGGTCGAATCAAGTCGTGTCTAATTTTTAATTTGAGTCTTACTAACTTTTTATATCCATTATGCGAGTGAACATCTGAATCGAATATATTTTTGACTGGTTGGGTGCAATTTTGACACATTTAGTCCTGATTTACTTATCACTCCTAATCTCCTATCATTGAATTTACGAAGCATATACTTAATTCAACTCTTACAGCTTGTTTCGATGGAAAGAAATAGAGGGGAGGGAAAGGATGAGATGAGTTTTCCTCCATTTGGATAACAAATATTGGAGGTGAGGGAATTGGGAGGAAGAGAAATGAAAGAAAATTATTTCCTTCCACAATTAAGAAACAAATCTTTCCAAATTATAGAAGATTTGGAAGAAACTTTGATTCTACAAAAACAAATCTCTTGATCTCTAACCCCAACTGTTTGTCACCTCCACCACAGGCCTCGCACGTCATCTTCCAACGCCATGTCCGCCGCATCATTTGCTATGGTATTCAAGCTTTTCTTCTTCTTTTTTATAAATTCGATCTTAAAATTTCAGATGATGAGATACAAATTTCTAGTTTTGATTTTCAAAAATCAATTTTTCATGAAATTTAATTTTTATTTTCATGAATCAAGTATCATAAAACTGAGTTATGATCTTCAACAAATGGATTTTCTGGAAAAAAAAAAAAGTTTTGATTTCGGTTAAAATTTTAGAAAATATGTTCTTCTTTTTCTAAAACCAACATTCAGAAATTTTTGTATTGATTTTCGAAAATTAATTTTCATAAATTTCTGTTTAAATTTTGAAAAATCAATTTTCAACAATTTTTCATTTGGAAATCGACAAGAAAATTTGAGGGATTTCCCACCAGAAGAACAAGCAAATCCCTTCACTCTCTCTTCCTTCATTTTCTCTATTATCCAAATGAAGGATTTTGTTTTCTTCACCCCTCCCCTTCCTTCATCTTCCTTCCCCTCCATTTCCTTCCAAAAATTCTATCCAAACACAGCATTGATTGCATTATTGGTTGGTAGTTTTTATAATACAACAAAATAGGTGATGATGCAAGTATATATTATATGTGGTGCGTGACATACATGCACGTTTTAAATTTGTTGTTTGATGTTGATACTTCGTATTTAGGTTGAGCTGGTGATAACTAATTTGAAATTGACGTGTGCGATTATTCAAATCAAATATGCTATTCAATCATACCACAAACATGATTACATGATTGCTAAACGAACCTTATATTGGGAACACCGAACACATGGTAAAGAACCGTGTAGAATAAGAGCATGCAATAATTAAAGTACTTTCTTTTTTGAAAATAATGATCCTCTATATCTTTTAAAATAATAAAAAATAAATATATAATAATAAATTAATAAAAGTGGGTGTAGGTTATTTTAGGCTTAGCAACCCATCACTTGTAAAGTTGTAAGGAAAATCCTGTATATACAAGAATTTAGGACTCATTTGTTTGAATGTAAAAAACTTTTAAAGCAGCAAATAATTCATTATACTGATTAAGCAACGTGTTGGACTTAAATATTTAGTGATACTAACTCAATAGGATTATGAAATGGACAAATTTAGCATAGTTTGCGTTAAATTGGAAACACACAATGAAAATATGAAATCATGCATTACATGATGTTAATAAAAGGTTAGTCTATGTCAAAAATTAATATATAAAGAAATAATAATAAAAGGTTAGCGTTTCAACTTTGACTTAGTTTTTTTAGTTGATAAATATACGTGGTGGACAATGAAAGACAACAATGAAAATTGGTGTACATACATAAGGGAATTTGATGATATGTGTTTTGTTTATTTAATTTTCTCTAATAAAAATTGACCATGGATATATGGTTTGTAATGTAGTACAAAATTATATTGAAATGAGTTGTTAAGCGTATATGTTATTATTATTTATGTCTTGTCCATTTTCATAATTATCAGGAGATGGGGTTTTGAGAAGTTGGTGTACAAAAATGTGAAAGAAATGAGGAGAGACCAAAAGTACGCAATACAACCAAAGAATGTATATGCAACAGGGGTTCACAGGTCAGAAAACTTTGATGGCAGCTTCACTTGGTTGCCCAGCGAGATGATGAAGTATTTCCACTACCATGGCACGGTTGCTGAACGACGTGAACCGTGCCGACAACTCATTAAAGACAATTCTACAACCATTGAAGACACCCCATATGTTAGTGACACTGCCATGAGATTGATTGCCCCTTTGATTAAGAAGTTTGAGCTTGACGCCATTGGTTCTAGGCTTATATCAACTAGGCTTTGATAAATCGCTTGCTAGTGTTTCATAATGACAAGTTTACTATAGAAAATTTTAATTTGTAACCCTTATTTATTTATTTCTTTAAGGCATGATGTGCATGATAAGTACCTTGGCCTTCCAACGGTGATTGGAAGATCGAAGAGGGTGCTTACTAAGGGTATTAGAGAAAAGTTATGGAAGAGACTTCAAGGGTGGAAGGTTTTTTTTTTTTTTTTTTTTTTTTTTTTTTTTTTTTTTTTTTTTTATCTCTAAGGCGGGTCAAGAGGTTAGGCAGTGGCCAAATCTATCCCAACCTACGCGATGAGTGTGTTTAAATTCCCTTCTTCTTTTTGTAACGAAATGAGATCTTTGGTGGCGAACTTTTGGTGGGGTTAAAAAAAAGGGTGAGAGGAAAGTCCACTGGATAGCATGAAAAAAAATTATGTGAACCTAAGGCTAAGGGCGGTTTGGGATTATGTGATTACAAATATTTTAATGTAGCCTTTTTAGCTAAACAAGGTTTGAGATTATTGCAGAATCAGGATAGTTTAATGGAAAAAATTTTGAAAGCTCGATATTTTTCGAATGGGGATTATTTAACTTTGGAGCTAGGAACTAGCCCAAGTTACACTTGGAGGGGAATTTGGCGAGTGAAGTGGGTGTTGCAGCGTGGTCTCTGTTGGCGTGTTGGTGATGGCTTGAACATATCAGTTTGGAAGGATGCGTGGATTCCGAGTACTCAAACTCGGAAGATCATTTCACCTCGAGGTGAGGCGCCAGAGAACCTACGTGTTTGTGATTTAATTCACGTTGCAGCAGCTCGTTGGAATGCTTCTTTAATTGACACACTTTTCTTGCTTTTTGAGAAGGAGCGTATTCTAAGTATCCCACTTAGCTTCCGTTATTTATGGCACTCTTAGGGTAGGTTTTATTCATATTTTTATGCTCGATTTTATTCTTTTATGTCGTATTTTTAGAGAATAATGCGTGATTTGCGTGTTAGCGTGTAAGTGTAGAGAAATGCAAGCTTTTAATGGTTTTCATATTATTGTATTCATTTCTCGGCTATTTTTCTCGCTTCTCCGTTTATTTGACTTGTTTTGTAGGTGTGTCGAGTTCCTCGGGGTTTAATCAAGGAGGGAGCTCAACGCATTCAAGGAAATTAACGGAGCCAAGTTCGGGAATTGAAGCCGAGCATGCAAGTCAAGCCTAACCAAGCAAGTGTAGCCAAACACCGCAAGTACGAGCATCAAGGCAGAAAATAACACAATATTTCAAAACAGTTTCCTAACGGGTTTCTAAAGATGATGGACATTGAAAATTACATTGATTGTTATTAAAAGCTAGAGCCAAACATGTTATGGAATGTTATTTATTTTGGGGGCTAGCATTAGTGTTATGCCATTGTCTGTGTGTTCCAAGCTAAATATGGGTAAATTAAAAGCTACTAATATTACTCTACAAATGGCCGACCGTTCTTTTAAATACCCCTTATGTGTTTTAGAATATGTTCCTATTAGAGTAGGTAAATTTTATATACCTGTTGTTTTTGTTGTTCTCGATATGGCTAAGGATATGCAAACCCCAATTATTTGGGGTAGACCATTCCTTAACACTGCAGGAGCAATTATATATGTGAGATGTGGAAAATTGACACTATCAGTAGGGGACGATAAAATTATTTTTAATCTAAATAATACCCCTAAAAGCCCCATGACAGAGGAGAAGTGTTTTAGTGTTTTTATGTGGTTCATAATTATTCTAACAAGCCCCAAGCTCTTGTAAAAGATCCCTTGGAGGCGGTATATTGTGTTGCATCTTCTACAGATGAAATAGACAAATGGCAAAAGGAAGTTGATGCAATAGAAAGAGCCCTCTACACTGTCGGTATTGGCTTTGAAGATGAGAAGGTGGAATTAAACAATAAAGCTATGGAAATTGAGCCTACAGTAAGTGTTCCGCCAGATCAAGTTGCAATTGCTAAATCTAGTGACAATTTGAAGCAACCATCGATCGAAAAGGGGTATCTAGTGTGTAGTATTAAAGAGTCCCCAGTCCAAGTCAATGAGGATCCACCAAACAAGATGAATTGGCGTCCCACAGGGTATGTCAGGAAGCCGCGTCGTGGCCTAAACATCGCTCGACCGGGTGAGAAACCACCAGACCAAGCATTAGGCCAAGGGTCCTAGTTTTTATACTTGGTAAAAAGGTCGTGCGGGACCTAGATAAACCAGCGCTTTGCGGGAGGCAACCCGTATTTTCTTGCTTTTTAGACTAGTTTATCTTTCTTTTTCTTGTGACAGGAGAGAGGAGGGAGTGTAATGAGTTTATTGAGTTTTTGTACAGTTTTAAGGAAAAGAATTGGTTAAAATTTGAAGAAAAGAGGAAAAATACTCCCGTACTAAGTTGTCTCGGGCCCGACCAGGCGAAGCTCGCCCGATCGGGCACGAGACTAAGGGTTCGAATTCATGATTTTTCGCCCGATCGGGCAAATGACGCCTGATCAGGCGCGAGTTTTGACGAAATACGGAAATTAAGATCGCCCTATCGGGCGAAGGACGCCCAACCGGGCGCGAGAGTAGAAGAATATCGGGGTAACAGATCGCCCTATCGGGCGCGAAAGAAACGTAAATTAGAGTGTTAGATCGCTCGACCGGGCGACAGCCCGCCCGATCGGGCGCGACAACACTCACCGTCCTTCTTCTTCTTCTTCCTTCTTCCTTTCCCCATTTCTTTCTCTTTCCTCCATACTTTCTCTCACCGAACTTCCATTTTTCTCTAACTTCTCTCTAAGTTTCCCTCTCCATCTCTTACCCAAATCCAATAAGTTTTACATATTCTTAATCCTTTCTTCATCCTCTACATTCCTACATTAAAATTTTCAAGTTTCAATCAAATAATTTCATACCCATTTCTCTATTATGGCTTCAAAGAGGGCCCGATCAATTTTTGGGAGGAGTTCTAGTTCAAGGGAGGAGTACGATCCGGATTTGCAACTCCGTTATTGGCCAACAATTCGAATTTCTAGCAAGAAGCAAAAAGAACGGCTGGAGCACCTTGCTGGGCAGGAGGTAATTCCTTCACGGTGGTTACACCGCCCTACCCTTGAATCTTATGGTTTGTATGATTTTGTTAAACGTTTTTTGAACGATATAGGAATGAGAAAATTCGTTGACATGCATTATCCTACATAATGTGAATTAACGTGTGAATTTTTGTCCTCTTTGAAAGTTGTAAATAGTAGAAATGGACCGAACTTATTTCTTAGGTTGAACAATAGGAATATTAGTTTGACATATGTTGAATTTTGTAAATTATTTGAATTAAATTCTGAATTACCTTATCAATGGCATGCTGATTATAAAATGGGTGATATTTATCATGCTTTAACTGGTTTACCGACCCCCGACCCCCAACATGCTAGTACGAAACCTATCCATCACCCTATCCCAAAAATCTGGCAAAGTTTTGCATTATTGTGTTTTCTTGGTAGATACGAGCCTCATATATAATGCCCAAACCAACGCACTAGATGTTATTGGACACTATGTGTATGGGTTTGGTACACTAAACATAGGTAGATACATCATCCACTGATTTTAGCCTCCACCCCAGGGATACGATAGGAATCCCATTGCCCATGGTATTTATACTGACTATTCTGTCTTCCATGGGTATGGCCAGGACATTCCTTTCGGGGGACCGCCGGCGGGGGGGGGGGGGGGAGGAGTTTTCACGCTGATTATTTTGGTGGTAGCTCTTCTGGTGAAGGTGGTGCAGGTGGCAGCGGAGGTGGAGGATTCGGCTCCATGGATAAGGATGATGAGGACTAGCCATGCTGGGCTAGTTCCCGAGCCAATGGGGACATTGTCTGATTCTGGCTTGGGGGAGATTTTGGGTTTGGTATCTTTCTTTTTCTCTTTTCTTTTATTTTTGGTGTGTTTTCTTAGATTAGATTTATTGCTTTCTAGGTTAGTTTTATTGCTTTCTTATATGAAAAATACAAAAAAATTGAAAAATAAAAAAAAATACAAAAATACGTTACAATGAATTATAAATCATGCTTCCCTGTACCCCATACTCGGAAAATATTGATTTGATTCTTGGTATATGATGATAAGCATTGTGGATTTATTTATCGTGATATGAAGTTTGATTGCTTAGATGTCCTAACATGCGTCAATTTTGTCCAACTTCATGTGAATATAGTGCTTGACTAGTTGATTTGGTTAGGAATGTGTGATAGTTCCTGGTATGTCAATGAATTTGAGTATTGGTTTGCAACTATAAGTAATATTTATATGACTCATTATTATGCACATTGTGGAGGACGAAGGCATTTGTTCAATTCTTTTAGGTAGCCTTCAGATGATTCTTGATACGTACATTTGTTCCCTTCTTGCTACCCATGTTGTTGCCTTGAATTTTTATTGTTTATTAGCCACATTACAAGCCTATTTTGCCCCATTGGTTACTAGCCCAAGCTTGGCTTGAGGGAGCTGTTAGGGAGTGAGGCTAGGGAGTTTGTAGTGTGCTTATTATTTGCACAATTTGGGTGGGTTTTGAGAAGTTATTTTGTTATTGATCATGTTTATTTTTGATGAGTTTGAAAGTTTAATCTTCTTGAAAAAAATAAAGTATGATGCTATGAAAAAAAAAGAGAAGTTCAAGAAAAAAAAAAGTGAAAAAAAAGAAGTGAACTTCAATAAAAAAAATAAAAAAAAAATAAAAAAATAAAAGAGCAAAAAGGAAAAAATTGTTCAATGTTCAAATGTTCTAGTTGGAGGTTGATAAAAAAAAAAAAGAAAATATGATGAGTTTCAATGAAAAAATTCAAGTTTGGGAAATAAAGTTTGTTTATTCCCTCTAGTTCTTCATTATTATATCTTTATGAGTGAAATCTGTAAGTGTTGGGATTGTTGTTTATGTTTGGAGTTGTATTTGGTGAATTTTTGGTGGAGTTGAGTATGTTGGAGATTTGTTGGTCATTATTTATTTTTTACCTTGGTTTTATTAGGATTCGGCTCCCTTAAGCATGGCTTTACTATCACATTTTCCCAAATATTTCCTACCCTTTACCCTAGCCTTACATTACAAGCTTAAAAGACTTTCCGGCCGTGTGTATAGAGTTGTATGAATGTGAAAGTGTTGTTTGTCAATGCAAGTTATGATTTGACATATTTCGAGTTGACTAGTAGGTTGAGTGTACATCTTTTTAAACACACGAGAGTGTGAGTTGGGAGGGCATTGTTCACATTAAAGGGGTTGGTTGAAGAGCGATCGAGTACATCTTTTACTCGCCACATAAATGAGAGTTGAGTGTGTGAGCACTAGTCTTGAATTCTATATGCTCTTGTGGTTTGCTCTGTTTGACAATTGTTAGGAAGGAAGAGTAATTGGATGGATGAGATTGGTTGATGTTGAAGCATGTTTATTAGATTTACCTTGAATTGTTTGTGCTTGATTTTTACTTTTTGGGGTAAAGCATATTTATTTATTCATTGATGAGATCTTTGCTTAGGGACAAGTAAAGGTTTGGCTTGGGGGAGTTTGATATGTCCATTTTATATAGTATTTTACCCCCGTCCCTTGGTCATAATAAGTAGTGTTTTTGGCTCTTTAGAGCCACTTTTATTACTAATTGGTGTTTTCTATTGTTTTCGTAGATTTGGTTGATTTTTGTAGGGATTTTCACTTTTGGAGCATTTTCCCGAGATATTATGGAGTATCTACGAGCATTGGAGATGCACGACCATCCTTCATAGCCCAGGGCCGGTTAGAGCCATCGAACCGGTGATTAAGGGCTTGGTATATGTGATACCGGGGCATTGGGACCGAGTATTCAAGACCCGAAAAGGAAATCCGAATTGGCCCGAAGAATTGGAGCCCAATCGAAGTCCAAAGAGTAGCCCAAGTGTGCCGCCCGGCCATTAGAGGTCCCGCCCGAAGGCGCGCCCGGCCGGGCGGGGAAGAGAAGCTGGTGCCCGAACTCGCGCCCGACCGGGCGCGAGAGACGCACCTGAGAGTGAGAAGCCGGCCCGATCGGGCAATGCCTCGCCCGATCGGGCGCGTGTCAGCATTATGAGATGATTAGCGTCGTTTAAGTTTGTTTTAGTTTAGGATTCTTGTATAACATAAATATTTTTCCGTTAAGCAAGTTTAGCACTCTCTTTTTACTCTTCCTTAATTCTTCTCTTAGATTTTCTCTCTCTACTTAGATTTTAGATTAGTTTCTCTCTCTACAACTTTGTTCTTAATTCAACTCCTTAATTCTGATTATTTTGGTAATGATTTCTTCAACTTTAATCTCAGTTATTTATTTTAATTCTTTCATCATGTCTTATTTTATTGCTTTGATTAGTTTAGATTTAATTATGTGTGAGTAGTTTTATTTTCTAGGGTTTGTGGGGATCCATAAATAATATGAAGGGATGACTTATTATTGTTGATTGTCAATACTAAATTATTTTCCTA